TACGGTACGTACACAGACTACTAGTTGTACTACTAACTAATATATATATATATATATATATATATATATATATATATCGGACTTTCATAAACTTTTCCCACCACTGATGTAAGACTAATATGTGTATTTTTTAATGGGGCAATATTTTTATCATCACCCTTGAAAATTGTCATAATATTGTCAACTTCCAATCTTTTGGCACCTGTTCATTATTTAAGAACTTACGAAGTATAGTAGCAAGTGGTTCAAATATTCAATCCTCAACATCCTTCAAAACTCTTGGGAAAATGTCTGGCACAGAAGCTCATCACATTAAGGTTACATTCAAATGTAAAATCTTTAATAACATAGTATTCTGTGATACCTCATTTAGAGTTCCTTTATACAATACCCTGCACAAGATCGCCATATTCAATACTATCACACTTTATTTTAGAAAAAGTTAAAATAAATAAATAATGTGTTACACTAGGAAATACAGCTAGGTTAACACAGCTAATGGATTCTACCAAGGCATCTTTCAGTAGATATTTAACAAATGTTGTATTCCTTAATTACACTATATTCATTTTTAAATTTCATAATGTTATACATTTTGAGAATCATCACTTTCAAATACTTAAGATTTATACAGTTTAAGTTTAAATGAAAATATCCTCAATATCCATGACATCTGAAGTTCTTTTGGGCAGGATTAGAATAAATTCATTTACAAGACCTTTTTTTCCTTTTTCTTAGCTATATTTTTGTGCACCAGCAATACGAAGCATGGTACACGCATATACTTGATTAAATTTTATTACTCATTAAGATCTCTACCGGCCTACTCTCAAACTGAAATTCTTTTAGGCAGGATTAGAGTAAATTAATCTACAATACTTTGGACAAGGTAAAATACATCAATAAATAGGGTTTGACCTCCCGAGTCCAAAACTGTAATTAGATCTCAAATCAGTCAAGAGATGATGGATCTACAAGCTATGAGCTGCTATGCCACAGATAAAAAGTAAATTAACAAGATTTAATTCGGCAGATCAAAAATGTATTATTGGCAAAGTACTGCTGATACAAGTAATCCAATAATGAAAAATTAAGTTAAACATTATTCTTAATACTACATTTCTAAAACAAACAGGCTACTAACATAGCTGCATTCCTCTTTAGAGATGTTGTTAGAACATAATTCTGTTTCAGGCATATTTAATTCAAATATTTGTTGAAAAAACATCTTAGTGCACCTCAAATAAGAGCTCAGGAAATTTTACTTGCAAGAGGCTATTCAGCCCATCATGCTTGTTTGGTTGTTAAAAGTTTTACAAAGAAAGTAATGAACCAAAAGACAACAACTCTGGCAACTATGATAAACTTTATGTACTTTTTATTGCTTTTATGCTGAACCTACAACTGTCTGCATTAGTGGACTTTTGCAGTTTGAAACTCAGAAGTTCCTAATAAAAGTCCTACTGTGCTTTCTTCTGAAGGTGAAGCATTTTTTTCTGTAGGAAAACTAATATACTTTAGCAAAGAAGTCTATTTATTTTGGTATTTCCATCACTCATGTACACAATTCAAAACATTGGAATTTCACAGTTACCAAATTACATAAACAAAATACAATTACCACAAAATCTAAACATAAAAACACTGCTAACACATTTTGCATGTTAGTTTTAATGACATGTCTGCAAAGTATATGTTTTGTACGTTATGGCAAATTCACTATAATGACAAAATAAACATACATTAATTAACTCCCTTTTGATCAGTTTATTGCACATTACCATTGTTGTGTCTTATTTAGAAGCAATATGCAAGTACTTGTAGTACTTCAAATTCTCAAGTCTTTTACAAATGGAGTG